ATGAAGAAGAAGGTGGTGGAGACTTTTGCCAAAACAGTGCTGGTTGGTGAGACGGAGACGGTGGTGATCAAAGAGAGCGACGACGGTTGTGGACAAAGAGGGTTATGATTTTTATCAATAAGAAAAGAAAAAAACTATCGCGGGGGTAGTGTAGATCGAAGTTTTTTTTTTTTTTTTGAAAACAATGTAGATCGAAGTTGTAGTTCTAAATAATAGTTCATCTAGAAGACAAATTAATTCAGTAATATAATAAATGAAAATTTTGGATTAAAAACCAACCATCAACGAATTAATTAATAAGTTTTTTGGTGAATAACCAAAAAAAAAAAAAATTAAAAAGTTAGGAAAAATGGGGTATGTGGCAAATTATAGGCTATTGGATTTGAGGTTTTTTGTTAGTTTTTAAATTATAATTTTTTGTTGTATTTTTGGCAAATTTCCCTTAATTAATCTATACAGAAAACTCTATATGAAAAAAAAAAGGAAAAATATGGACAAAAGGAAACTCCATCGACGTTGCCGAATAAGTTTCCTTTTTTGGACAAGAAATAATAATCTCACTTGTGTCTTGTATAAATACGCATCGGGCAACACTCTCTCATTCTCCAAAAACCATACAACTTTCCCTGAGAGTAATTTCTGTAGAATCAAACATTATGGATCCTTTTTCAGTTTCCACAATGCTCAATGCATTACCTCAACGAGAACCCTTAGGAGATCGTGAGACTCCGGCGATTCCTCCTCCTCCTCATCCACGTGGCATCTCCGCCGCAATTCCTCCTTCGGGATTCACCACACCACTAATCCATTCATGCCCCTGCGGTTGCACCGCCTCTAATCCTCGAGAACTTGTGTCCAACTTAATGACTAGCAGCGAAGAAAGCTTTTCTCTTTCCAAAGAGACGATCTCAAAGCTAAACAGAAGAGAGCTTGCTTCTTTGCTTACTTCAGACTCCGATTACTTCATGGACATTGCAAGAAACGAGCACGGCTCCAAACGCATACAAGAGCTCCTCGAGAAATCCGATGACGTGGATTCCTTATTCTGCGCCGCTATCAGGCGCTGTTTTTTCCCTGTCATGACTGACAAGCACGCGTCTTACCTGGCGGTCCATGCCATTCGAGTTTTCGAAGGTGAGAAGAAAGAGTCCATGTACGAGCTAGTTCTCAACTACGCGCTTTACCTGGCTCAGGACCAACGCGGCTGTGGCACTCAACGAGTTCATAACCGACTTGGACCATCCTTACTACAGAAACAAGCTCCTTTACATAGTCGCGTGCAACGCTCTCTGGCTAAGCAACGATGCTTATGGCAACTTTGTGATCCAACAAGTGCTTAGACTGAATGACTTGCGTTCCACGTATCACATCGCGGTTAAGCTCCCTGGCCACTGTGTTGACCTCTCGTTTCGGAGACATGGAAGCTACATAGTGGAAAGCCTTTTGGAGGCAGAGGAGACAGTGATGATGCCAGTGGTTGTGGAGCTTTTGGATTGCGAAGGAGAGAGGTTGATGAGGCTGGCGAGGAGTGTGTTTGGGAATTTCGTGGTGGCCAAGGCACTGAGAGTCACACAGGAGAAGTCTAGGGCTGACTTGTTTTGAGGTCTGGTGCGTAAACTCATGCCTTGTCTCCATCTCCTGCATAGGTCACGTGGAAGCAAGATTGCAGCAATCTTGGACTCAATTTGTTAGCTTGTCCTAAACTAGTAACAATTTCTCTTTTTTTTTTTTTGTCAACAACTAGTTACAATTTGTAAAAGCCTTAGCCTCTTATTTGCATTTTAAATGAAATAACTTCGTTTGATGAAGAAAAAAACATATATATATTATTAGAATGAAACTATTACCAATTACATAGATTATTAAACGAAGACAAAAATGTGCAAACAGTAGAACAAAAGGCTCTAACGTTGAAAGAATGTTATGTACACACAAAAATTCATATCAAGAAACAAATTACTCTTTATCTTAAATTTCCCCAAATTTGGAGGGGAAAACATGCTTAAATAAGAAACATAATACAACATATAATATATGTATATAAGTTACATGTATAGTTGGAGCATACTTCACATTGCTGATGGTAACTGGCTTCTGGTAAGAGCGACTTTTTTTTTTTGCTCTTGTATAAACCAAGACGCAAGAAACATGTTTAGGCTGGATCGGTTTCAGGTTCTGAATCCGGTTCTTTGCACATGCAATCAGGCATGGGGAACGTGTAGAGCGATGCAGCAGGTTTCCTTAATTCGACTCCCTTTGCGTCATTGTGGCGAAGCATATCTTGCATTTGTTTCTTGAAGTAGTACCATCTACCCAAATAAAAACATCCAACCCGAAGAAAATGCAGTCAAGTAGAGGAATCTACGAGTTTGAGGTATGCCAAGTGGGTCAAAAGTTATTAGGAGATCAATTACCTAATGCTCGGTTTATCGAAGAGCTGGACTAGTTTCCGCTTATCGGGTTTAATAGTCTCAGCATGGCCTTTGTAAAGGTAGCGACGGTGACCTATCAAGAAATGGGGGAAGTTTCCGCCTTGTGTGGATACAAACACTTCGCTGTGGAGGCACACTGTGTAGTCAAGAGCAGCCAATCTTGATGAGTGGCCCTACATTATCACAAACACACACAAAGTTTGTCTATGCATTAAGTTTACTTTTTTTAGCGAAATATAATATAAGACAACAATCAAAATCTTTCAATTCCAAGGGCATGTTATGGTAGAGCCCACAGGATTTATGAGCAATTGCTTTACGATCTCCTATTTTGGTACACTTGTGAGCACAATTACTTGACAACCTACTCTTTGTTTTATGTTCTCACTGGCACCAACTGATATGAATGAACCTAAGGATCCTAAACTAATAACAACTCCATTCTGATTCCCACCGACCTGAAGAGAAATTTCTCTCTCCTATAAAAAAAAACAGGCTTCTGAAAGGAATGAACTCATAATTTTTAAGGCTATCAAAAACCATTTAACATTCTCGCTGAACTCTTGACATCAATATTCTCCCAAAACCCTTTTCTCTAAATTCACTCCTTATATCAATGAACATGAAACAATCAATCTTCATCTCATTTCTCAATAAACGATTCATAGACCAAGGCGAATTTTCCCATCAACATGTTCCATAAGCAATTGCATATATGAACATTGTCAGAATCATAGCATACTAAGTCCCAATGAGTGAAGAAATTGGTGTTTGGTTACCTTAAACGGTGCAAGTTCCTCTGGGGTAGCTAGAGTATCCTTGGTTTGAAGAAGGGGAAACATCTGTCTAAGAGGAGCCATATATTTTTCAGCTTTGTAAATGTTTCCCGCAGCAGCGTAAACCAAGGTGCTATTGTTAAAACCCATGCCCCTAAGCATCATTCCAACCTACGGAGTAATGTTACCAAGATGTGTCAGTTCCATAACGCCTTTAATCTAAGTTCATTGCGATTTAAAGTCGCTAGATAAGCTGGATTTAAGATTTTCAGAAATGGGGAGGGTAAGCAGTTTAGCAGTGATACCTCCAGTGGGGTTAAAGGGCATTTTCCATCTATGCGGTTTGCACCAGGCCTAATTACTCTGCCTCTTCTCCTGAACTTTCCTTTCCACCCTCTTTCCCGGGCCAGGTCCATTTCTAGCTTCTCAGCCTCCCCAAAGTCATATTCACAACACGAGAAGGCAACCATGTCCTTCGAAAGAGAAAAATAGAGATTATGAAAAGAGGAAAACAGGAATTAGCAATTGCAGAAATGGATAATTGGCAGGAATAATATACCATTTCAAAGCGGAGATGAACAGAAACATATTTTCCTCCACTCTGAACACTCTTCGTAATCATCCTATTGACCATTTTATCTGCAAGCAGCCGAATGGGCTCCGCAAATCTCAATGCTTCAAAGTTGGCCAAGCATCTGAGCCCTTGAATGTGTGCGGGAACCGCATGAGCCAACCTGTTGGAGAATGGTGCAACACGGACAGCCCTAATGAAAGAAACAAGATAGAGTTAAAAACACTGTAGAGTGTGTTTAGGTCCCAGTTCAATTCAAGAAGCAACCTTGTAAAAGGCATAGGTTTAGAAGGAGAGCTCTCAATAACCAAAATCACATCATTGAGTTTTGGAATTTATACTACTTCTCACACACCCATAGAGCTTTAGAAACAAGCTTATCAAGAGCGAATGCTAGTATTCTACCTTAAGCTATCAATCCATTTCATTTTTGTATTGAAGCTCTGCAGTATTCAATTCAATAAGACCTTCTAGATAGACAAATTCTACGAAGCAATACAGGCACAACATGAAAGAACATAAACACTGAAACAATAATTTTTTGTAAGACTAAGAACAAAAAAAAAAATGTCAGTGAATGACATACCCCAAACGCAAAAGTTTTGGGAGCACCTTCTGGAGATAGTATGCCGGACTGGACCAAGCCTTTAATCTCAAATTAACAATACTGCTTATATTGTAGTTGTACCGCTCAAGTATGTCTTTTGGGAGCTCTTTCACTACATTCACGTTCTTACTAAGAGCATATATGAAGAACTCTTCATCAAATATATCTCCAAATTTGCTGTAACCAACAAAAAAGGGAAAAAAAACCAAAAGAAACATGTAAGCAAATCATGCTGTCAAAGATACAACTTGCTTTGAAGATCGCAGACATTTTGACCATCTCCATCTCTAAAGCTGAGGAAATTTCGGTTCTTAAACTAATTCCATGATCATGGTTCATGGGTGATGAACACTTTCAAGGACAGCATAACAAGAAACCAATAGTAACCTGGAATCACGCCATACACTGTTTAAGTGAAAAATCGGGATGACAAGGGTAGCATTCAGCAGTCCAGCCACAGCAACTGCATCACATATCTGCATCAAGACGCAATACATACCTCTCTAATCAACAAAACAACACACAAGCATACACTATGTAACTAAAAACGAAAAAGTCCAATTTGAAGCCACAGAGAGTAAACATACTGACAATCGTTGTTGATTCAAGCCTCCATTCGCTTCGATTATGAAGAAACCATTAGACTTTGACCCTGCATAAACTCAAAAAGCCTCCACAGTTACCAACTACTCCACATACCCAGACAGCCACATATAAATTTTTCAAAAAGGAACTCGAACCTGCAGCAGAAACGTTTGTGCTAATGCAAGGCTTCCATGTACTTTTGACTCTCGGATTCCATACTGTCATCAGCTGCATGATAATCACAAAACCCCTCACAAACAATGAAGCTACTACATTCATGGATTTATGAAATCTGAAGTGTTCTCGAAAAATTCCAATTGAGCTTAAATTACCGCATTGGGAGTACTTGCATTAGCATCGGACTCCATTACCGGCCAGAGACGCTTGAAAACCTTAGGACTCCGGTACACTGATCCAGGTGGACCTCGTCTATACACAATCTCTACACGGTGACCTAGATCGAGGACAGTGAAGCCAAAAGAGCCCATAAAAAGTAACATTCCAGCGATGTAGAGAAGAGGCGCCAATAGCAACACACCTTTCCGCCTAAAAACTATGGAGAAAAGTAAGAAGACAAGTCTCTCTCCGATTCCTTGCTTTTCCGACCTGTAAAAACCTCCTCCGCCGAGAGTTTTTCCCCTGCCGTGACGTATTCGAGGCGAAGAAGGAGGAGATCGA